CTCTCTCTCTCTCTCTCTCTCTCTCTCTCTCTCTCTCTCTCTCTCTCAGATGATTGTTTTCATTATTGTGTTGTAAAAATATTCGTGTTCTATTTAACAACTATCTATAGGGACCAGAAAAGTTTTTTTTTTTACCATTGAAATAAGAAAGAATGTTAATTTTCCTCCTGATATCGTGCGAATTTTGAGCTCTGTTACCGAGTCATTTCCTTCATACATAAATACTATCATAAACGATATTGAACAGTGCTGTGACAGCAAACACACTTGTGACTACACTCTAGACTACATTATTCATTCACTCATTCATTCGTGTTGTTACATGCATTCGTACAAATTGATGACTAAAAATGCGGATGCAAATGCAGAGCCCTTAGAACAAAGCATTGAATGTAAGCAAGTCGAATAACTACTTCATCAAATGATTATTCATTAGCACAGTAAGAGAATCAAGTAAGCACTACTCACTTAACAAACAGCGTATATTTACATCGATGTGTCTGAAACCCGTATTGTTAATATCGCATAATGCCATTATAAGCGATGTTGGCTATTCTCTACTCTCTTTCTATGTTCTGCGACTTGATGATAAGCACGAAAACTGTCGGAGTCAGCAGTACTAACGATCGTACATAGCATTATGTGATTCTGAACCATATTGGTTTTGGACACATTGATTCGCCTACTCACATCTATTTTACGCTCAAGTTGATCAAAATATTGTGAATTCAATACAAAATACAGTAATAGAGTTGAGGAGAGAAGAGAATGAACGACCTCAACCAAATATATGTATTTCATATCACTACACTGAACTGACCTTGACCACAATCAATGAACAAATTTAGTCCGCAATTTTTTTTCGAAAAAATTTAACTGCCACACACACGGTCGATTCAATGCTTCTCCTTCTACTATCTAAATTATACTGTCAGTCTATATTGGATTGTAGAACATTTCAAACGCTGCTGTCGTTTATGATTACAATTACATTTTTTGCAACCGGTTCCTGTTCGTCTATATCAGTTTATATGCGAAAAGATGAAAAATGAAATATTTATTCTTGATTGAAAAGAATGAAATTTACATAAAAAGTATCAATAAATTCAATAATTAAAATTGTTTTACTTCACCACAACAATTTATATCAGACTCAATGTGTGTATGTATGTTCCGGGTAAACGTTTTCGTTTCTAATTTATGCCTCTATCGATATGCACGCCATTGCCTACAATGATTAAACATAAAACTGAAAACCAGTTTTAGAATCGAAAAATTCAAAAATCCCGGACTAACTCGAAGTTAGTACTTTTACATTTCATATAAATTGCATAACGGGAATCGGTAAGAATGGAACACAGGAGGAAAATTGCATTCACTCCATTTTTTCAATACGCCTGAAATCCTCAACATTTCTGATGTAGAAAGACACACAAAAAGGTCTTTAAATTTATCCAACAAAACATTTTGAAGCAATTATTGGCATTAAACGATTGAACAAATAAAAAAAAGTCTCGACGGTAAGTTTAAAAAAGGCATCAAATCAAGCACTTAATCTGAAAGTAATTAAGAAATGGTCAGAACACTTTCTACACATTTCTTAGCAAAAAGTGTTTGATGGATTTAAAAGTGCTTTCGTTGTTAATCACATTCCAGCTAAGTATTGTCATTACATGTTGCAAACACTGAAAAATGACCTGCGTTACAATATGTGATCAAAGGGATATTGCAACTTTTTTCACCAGAAAAAACGCCATCTTACGTCGTGCCCGTAAATTATTTTACTGTACATTTAGATGGTTGAGCTTGAACAAAAGTTCGACACTATGAATTAACTTGGAAAGAGCTTGATAAACTTGATGAAATACATATATTTTATGATCGTTGGAATACCCCTATGTGTGTGATCAACTTTTTGAAATAGATCACAACATTTTAGTTTATACTTTTCCCGATATATATAGCTGAACATTAAAAAGAACCTTCATTCGGTTTTCGGACATTCAAAGCGAAACAGTCTAGATGCATTTGAAAACATTCGAATCATATCAAGTTGTCGTTGTTGATTGAAAGTAAATTTTAACAAGGTTACATTTGGAATTGTGTTCATTCAAAAAAAAGTGGAAATAGGAGTGAAAGTATTTCACTTGAAATCCAAGAGCAAAATTTTAAAATCAAAGAACAGAAAAATCAGTTGATTTTTGTTTTGGGTGTAATTTTTATATTTACGAAGTATTTTTGTTGGCTTGTAAAATAACTGTTTCTGTTCTTATTTTAGCTGGTACTCGAATTGCCTAGGGGCTTTTATGTATGAATATATGCTATTTTATACACAAAATATACGTTTTATACGCGGTATTCAAATATATGTAGAATCTCTGTATTTGTCGAATAAAGCCGTATAAATTTCGTATATTGCGTATAAATACAAATGCTAAGGGATAATTGTCGGTAATGTAGAGTGACATTTCATATTCCATTTATACGAATTATACGCGAAATATATGTGTTTATACAAATCTATTTGCACCATTTGACATTTATGCACTTTATGCGGTTATTATTTACAATAATATTATTATACGTTTCAACATAAAAGCCCCTAGCGAATTGTACTGTTAATCGTCATGGATGTTGAAATTTCGCCGGCACAACATTCGCCAAAGCATATTCTGAACATTTTGAACGATGATTGTATTCAGTCAGTCTTTCGACGGATGGATGATATAGGAGATTTCCTAAGTGCGACTCAAACATGCGTTCGGTTCCAGGAAAATGCGAAGTTAGTTTTCCGCACACATTACAAAAACGTCCCTATCGGCAAATTATATAAAGACGCATCAAAAAATAGACAAACCGCGGTGGATACAGTAAAAAGTTTTCTCAGCATTTTTGGACATATGATCACGGAACTTGACTTCGATGATAGTTTTGACGACGATAACATTGTAAAAACTATTGCAAAATATTGTGGAAAAACATTGAGGACATTTAAATGTGGAGATAAAAGGAGTCAGCGCTATTCGTCGGTCAACTTCAGCACTCGACCCCGATTAAGAGCGTTGGAAGAACTAGAAATACGCAACATTAGCATCCACAATTTCAAATACCACCCACAATTGAGAAGATTGTCGGTCAGGGGAATATATGGGGACAGGTCTTGATTGAAACTCGACTGGCTCATTTACCCTTTGACGACCAATGGGACACATATGTCCCATTTTGTTTTTCATCTGTAATAACTACATTTTTTAACCAATTTTAGTAAAATTGGTTTCGTTTGAAAGAGAATTAATGTAGCTATCAGAAAGTACCATAATATTGGATATTTATTGTAAACGCAATTGGATAGAACACTCTAAAGTCAAAAAATCTTAACTTTTTTTTCAACTTTCGCCAAATGCTATATAATTTTAACGGTGAAACTTTTAAAGCTGAAAATTTGGAATAATGTGCGAAATGTCCATTACTTTCCAAAAATCATCGACTTTATTTAGAAAAAACGTTTTTTCCACTTTTTATTGCGTTTGGCGCGATGGGACATATGTGTCCCATTGATCGGTAAAGGTAAATAAATACCCCGTATTTCCCTGTATTTTGGCCATTATTCGCGAATTTTCAAACACAAAAATTTACAAAAATATCATTAAATTCGTGATTAAATGGGCACAACAAAGCACAATTCAAACCATTTTCGGTTCAAAACAATTCTGAATATTTTAAAAACGAAAAAGATTTTACACGTAGTTCTTATGGGAGACATATTTTTTTCCATACAAAAATAGTTACCGTTACCGACCAATGACAATGGACATCATATGTCCCATCATTTTTTTCATATTTCTAGTTTAAAAAAATTAATTTTTAATAACATTTTTATGGTTTTTGGGGTCGCTGAGCACGAATCTGCAATCAGAATTGCAAAATTCCCATCCGTTCAATCTTGGTCGTCAAAGGGTTAAAAGATTTCCGAAATTAGAATTTGTTGAATTTAATACACAAAAACATAGCTAATAATGCACCCTATCTCGAAAAAATTGTTTTTTCGGGATATTCATCGTATGATCGTCGAAATGAATCGTTGATAAATATAGGCAAATTACAGAACCTAAAATCTTTGGGTATTGAGTCAGATGACGTAATTCTACAGGAAAGATTGATAGAATCTCTCGTTGAAAACAATGTTCCAATAGAAAATCTGCTACTTTGGGTTTATCCTAGTGTGACTCCACCACTGAGTATTTCGCAATTGAAAGAACTGAAAAAACTCTGTATTATACGAATGACAGATGAAACACTCATCCATTATGTTAAAAATCTACCCAGGCTGGAATTATTGATCTGTGATATGTCGAAAATAACTGTAAATGGTATAAAGACCGTTTTGCAATATGTACAATGCTTATCGGTTCTTATAATAGAAATGAAAGTAGCCACAATAGACACGGATGACTATAAATCCATCTTGAACTTAGCTAAGTCACGTGGGGTTAAAGTTACAATCTACATTGACCCTGGTACAATTGATATTCCAGCAGACTTTTTAGACGCAAATCGTAAATCGTTAAATGTAAAAAATGGTGTATTAATTAAGCATGATGTATGCAAATCTTTTAATGGATAAAGAATAAAAAAATATAAAACCGAATTTTGTTCAATGTACGATCTTATTTCTTTTGTGGTTTATTTACATAGATAAAAAATATAAGTAGGAGTACTCAAATAAAACAGGAACAATGAGATGGCTTGAATACTATTGTATCGTTTGTATGATAGCAACTTCTTGCCGTTTGTATAGAATGGAAATGCTCAAAATAATCCTATTACATTTCATGTACATTCCATGTAACGGTGAAAATGAAACCCAACATAATTGCATTCACTCCATTTTTTTCAATACGTCATTCAATCTGTCCGCTATTTCCTCTAATGTATTTTCCATTTTGGTGATTCGTTCATTGAATTGTTCCTTTTCGTCCATATCATGTCGTTCTTTTCTTTTCTTTTCTAGGACATTAAGCGCGACTTTAACAATTTTAGAATCCATAAAAATGCGTAGATCTCGAATCATTACTCGAGGGATATGAATTAGAATCCAATTGGGATAATTATTGTTGTTTGGTGTGACTGTGATGCGTTTAACCGTCTTCAGCACTTCAAATGCCAGGAAGCGTCCAAAAAATGGAAACATTTTGAGGAATGCTGGGTAACTGCCAAAGAAAATGAAAGAGACTCATCGGAGAATAAAGTCATCCAAATACGAAAGCATTTTCTTTGAAATTCGAAATTCATTCGACAAAATGAATTTTCTTACCAAGTAGTCAGTACTCTCTCATAGCAAGCCAAAACCTGTACACA